GGTTTTTGCCTTCACTGTAGGGAATGGCCAAGCAAAAAGTTGAACCCAGAGCAAACACCCGAGCTGCTTATATACATATGGGAGGTGAACTGCCCTTTTCTGGGTGTTCACATGGAATATGGGGTTTGGACTCCCTTCACCTTTGCCTAATTTTGAAGCAGATGTCCAAACTTTGCTGTAAGAAACAAGGATGGACCTGCATGGATTTGCTTGAATCCCAAAGCTCATGGCCTTTGATATCCCGTCTCACCGTCGCAAGCTGCTAAGCTTTCTCAGCTTTTCTCGAGTTTCTCAGGTGGGTGTGGAGGTGGTGGGGCAATCTTTGCTGCCATCCATAAAGGCTGGATGCTTAACTTATCCATTTTGCGAAAGAGCCAATCAGTTCTCTGAATCTCTGCAAAACGAACAAGTGCTGTTTGTCTATGGTTCCGGCAGCTCTCAGAACCAGGACTTGGGCAAAGACCGGCAGTGGAGAATACGGCTCGCCATCATCAATATCATGCCAAGAGCCAAGAGAAGTGGTTTTCAATGGTTTTCACATGTCTTTACACTTCTGGAAACGAGTACTCAGTGAGTACTCTATGCAGCCATAATGACACAGGGTTGTAAGGTTTTTTTGAGCCAGCTCCCAGAGAATGGTGGCGTAGCACTTGCCCCTCTTTGCTTTGTACTTTGCAAAGAGCTTTGCAAACTGACCACTTTGCTATGCTATAGCCATAGTCGCCTCCTTGGTTGACTTCTGTGAGTGCCCCACTCTCTGTTGGCCTCAGGCCGGACTTGGCGAAGTATCTCGGTGAGGCAAGACACCTTTACTAGGTTTAGCAAAGAGGAAAGAGGACAACAACAGACTCTTCTGGAACTGTCATTGTATACACACACGAACACTGGGAACAAGAAGCATTCGTTTTGAATGCCCTGTACGGGTGCCGCATGGTCTAGCGGAGTCCCTGCTACTCTTTTTAGGTTGGAGGCCATCGCTATTAGGCTGGAGGCCATCGCTAGTAGGTTGGAGGCCATCGCTATTAGGCTGGAGGCCATCGTTAGTAGGTTGGAGGCCATCGTTACTGTCTTAGGCACGAGGCCGTTGGGTGTTTTCTTTTTGCTCTCGATGTTTTCTGAACGAGAATCCGCATCCCTCCAGGCAAAGTTCACCTCTGAGCTCGGTAGCCTTTTCGGTGCATGGCTCACGGATCCTGTCTTCTCTGTGAGGTGCGCTGTAACTCTTTTCGCCGCGTCTCGGCGCTTGGTTGGAACGCTCCAAAAGCAAAAGGAATCTAATAGGAATGGCCTCCAACCTAAGGGCGATGGCCTCCAGCCTAGTAGCTTCCAACCTAGAAGCAATGTGTTATTTGCCTCATAGCCCTTGGCATGTGACTCAACGTGAGAGATCGATACAGAATCCATGACCTTTCTGACAGTCATCCATTTGGCATGCTTCGGGATGGACTAACTATGACTATATAACTTGACAAAACCTTTGCCCTCAACAAGTTAGGCCTTCATGGCTACTCTACCGAACATGGTACGCGGAACACATTTGAGTGCAAATTCAGGGTTTAACTCATTTGGGGCCCCAGTTTGGTTCAGACACATTTGACACTTCTCGCCTTGTCAGGACGAATTTACACACTGTAAGCACCAGACACAGTCAAAGTCTGAGTCGAAGCATTCTCCAGCAAGCAAATGATGGCACAACACAGGGCATCACAAGAGCAATTCAACTCCCATTGGAGCACCTTGCCAAAGCAGTTGATTCCATGTTGTTTGCGCTCTCAAAGCAGTGTGACGCTTAGTCCCACAATCCTTTGGCGCATACCCAAGTGAAGCATACCCAAGTCTTTGTTCCAGAGCCATGAGCCGTGTGGTGGCCGGATTCCTAGCTGTAGCTGGGTGAAACACCGAAATGGAAGGAGATGTCGGCTTTCTATTTTTGCTTTATGGTGCTGTATGGCTTTCGGGAGTCAGAGCACTTTTTGAGTCTTTTCAGGTGGACTCTGTGACATTGGGTGCCACCGGTATCCTTTTGATATATGATATGTTGCTTTGCATTGTTTTGCTGCATAGCTGCATAGCCGCATAGCCTTTCCAATAACACATACCAAATACCTCTCAGTCTTTTGAACATCACTTGACACACTTGCAGCCTGGCGTTTTCACAAAACAGTCATGAGTTTGCTTCCCCTGCTTGGAAGACCTAGGTCTCGCGACGAGGCACGGGGGAAGCAATTGCGGTGAAATGGGTGTTCCCACTCTGAAAACAGCAACGATCCACTTAAAGATATTCCACCTTGTGATTTAACAATTTAAGCACATCACGTCACCTTTAAGCACATCAGTGCCACTTGGAAAGCGGAGACAAGACTTGGAGGGCTTTGCCTGGAGCGTGTGAGGCCAGGAGGGCCCCATGGCACCTCTGTTGGCGTCCATCCCTGCCACGGTACGGAGAACTGGACTGCGGGGTGGGTGGCCTTGTCATGGCACCGGCGGCTCAGTGGTTTTGGCACGTTACCGGTAGGTTACTGTAGGAAGATTAGGAAAGTATGTTGCTACAGGCTATGCTGTAATTGGAAAGAGGATTTCTTTCAGGCACGAACTGCGTGACTTCGTTCTTCCACCCTCAACACAGCGTTCGAAACCTTGGTGTTAAGATCTGTCCTTAAGGCCACGGGTCATAAGGACACTGTGCTCAAGCAAACACCCGAATTGCGTACGGTTGTTGATTGCTGAAGCACTAGCGTGCAAAGTGCGCAAGCTTTGCTTTTATCAATTGTTTGATTGTGGTTGTGTTCTTCAATTTTCAAAGTTGGGATACTTATCGGGATTCATTGAGACATGTTTGAGGAATGTAGGTCTGACAGAGCCATTCCTTGAGAAACCTCGCCAATACTCTGACGCTGCTTGAACCTTCTGATGAAACGCTAAGGAAAGATCAAGCGCATAAACTCATGTTGTGGTGAGATGCTGAAGTCTTGTTCTTTTTTGTTTGTGTAGGCTCAGCGTAAGGCTTTCATGTCCCCTGCAAGGCGGTAAGCCAGACGCATTTTGTTATGACTGTCTGCTCCAAAGAAGGTTTTTGAACAACGTTCCCTGGGTTCTATCACGACCTAAGAAGTTAAGTTGGTACTTGCATGCAGCATGCACCTTTGCACCTGCACTTGAAGGAAGAAAGGACATACAAGGACAGGTCCAAATGCGAACGAGGACAACTCACGAAGCTGATGCTGTCCACAAAACACCTCGCTTGACCTCACTGGATGCAGCTTGAAGAATGCTTGAGCTGCTAATGCTTCTTTAAGATTCTTCAAGTCTCGCCAGAAGGTTTAAAGAAAAAAAAAAAGTGCTTGAACATGCATTCTGTCTCCACTTTTGTGCTACGCGAAACGCCACTTTTGTAGGTGGAGATCTCACCCTGGATCGACGCCACACAGGTGGGGTTGTTGGAGGGAGGTTGCTGGAACCAATGGAAGTGGAGAAGTTTTTGAGATCATGGCCTTCTAAAGGTGAACACGTTTTGAACGGTTGTTTAAAGCAATGTGTATATATAATACTATATAGTACGATTGTTATTATATAGATATTATTAGTATTACTAAAGATAATGTAGTATTATTCTATATTATATATAGTATATGCTTATTTTGTTCTGCTCGACAGGATGAAACCGGAAAATGGCAGCTTCCAGAGTACCCGTGTGAAATACAAGGACGAGCTGAGGGCTCATGTTGACAGGTGGTCCCTTTGCAAACTCCAAGGCAGCCAAAGGGGATGCTGCGACTTTGCGAACAAATGCTGGGACTTGACAAGCCGGCCAAAACAACCAGAAGTGCATTCCTCATTCAATTGAGGATTCTTGCCCACCTTCTTGCAGGACTCTCACCTGATGACCCCAAGAACGTCAGATGGAGGTGCCTGCAGCAACCGGCTAAAAGCAATGAAGCATACCCTCTGGAAGCCTACTTGCAACCATTGCTCAGGCTGTTTGTTGCAGCTCTAGGATTGGAAGTACCGAGATTCACATGACTAGGAGCAAGGACGCTACTAGGGGCTCTTGGCCTCACTACTAGTAACAAGAAGCTACTAAGGGCTCCTGGCATCGCTACTAGGAGCAAGGACGCTACTAGTTTTTGGTAAAGCTTGGAAGAGTGAAGTTGAACGAGCAAGGCCTGGCGAGTACAACATGGGGGTGGACAATGTTGATTACAAAGAGGATGTGAGGAACTGAGGGAATAGATTATGTACACGAAGAATCCAAGACTCAAATGAAGAATCCTTGCTTTGCTTAGTAGGTTGGAGGCCACGGCTTGCAAAGCGAATGATACTCTTCGAGTCCCGTGCTCCGTACATGGAAAATGGCTGACCATGGCCGAGGGGCCGCAAGAATGGGGCGGCCAGCGCCTTTGGGATGGAGACCGGCCGTCTTCTGGCTGCAAATGGGCCTTGTGGTCGGGAAGAGTACAAAGAGATACAAAGCTTGGCTGAAAGTTGATATTGTTTTCGTTGCGGACTATGTGACTATCTATCAAGCCAGTTGATTGGTTCCTGATGGATTCAAGCAGATTCAGTTTGAAGCTTCATGGGTTAGGGGTTCGGTTGCAGCGGCCTTCGGCTGCCGAAATTCGCACAAGGCCACGAGAGTGGAATCCAAAGAGATTGCCGGGCAACGTGCAAGAGCTCTTGAAGGCACTGTTCTTGGTTCTTGAAATGGTCATTGCATGTCATTGCTTTAATTATTGAAGGGCACATTTGTCCCTTGGTTGGGTGATATGGGAGGCAAGGCATTTGTGAGGTTGGCGGCTGTCACACAGAGATGCCTGCGCAGAGGCAAGAACTCAACTCTGCCCCTGCAATACTAGAGACTAGAACCTTTTAAAACCAGAAGGCGCCCAAATCACACAACACATTAAGCTTGCTGATGCCAGAGATGCAGAGTCATTACCCGTGCGGTGCCAGCCACATTTTAAGCTCAAACAAAACAGAAAGCAGCCCCTTTATTTGTGGAAATGGCAGACAATTCTTCACACAAGCTGAAGCTCGCAGGCGCAGGGAGAGTTTTGTTTTGCATGTGCAAGCAAAGCAAGACGCCGAATTGACTCCGGTGCAAAATTTGTTTGGATCACTGAGCGCAATGAGGGAACTTGCATTTGTCAGGAGGCGTGGCCTTGGGTGCGACCGCTTTATTTTTGGTTTCCAAAGCACTAAAGAAGTCTGTGAAAGACTCGGTGCGAAGGGAAGCTTCCTCTTCTTTTGATGCTCAGCATATGTAATGTATGTAGTGCCTTTTCTCATGGAATGGTTGTTGAGCCGATATCTCCCAAAGATTTGCGAGGTTTGCTTTTCAATCCTTTGTGTTCTAACTTTTTCAGACTGCAACCTCCTTGGGATCAGTGACTCCAAGGAGTATCACCTTGCAGTCCATTGCGCAGAGGTGTCAGAGGTTACTTGGCCAGTCGGACATGTTTTTTTTGCAACAATATCAGTGTTTTGTTTTTCGATGTTTGAGCCGCGCAGTAGGACACTATGAGAGAAGCTTTCATCCATGGTGTCTTCTATAGAAACACCATAGTGTCTTGTTTGCTTTCATCTATGTTTTATGAAACACGACAATACATGTTTTTGCTCTTGGACATTTGTGTGTTGTCACATACTCATGTTCGCACATAAGAGACGTATGCGGTGCAGTAGTCAGTATTCTTTGAAGTGTGTGCTGGCCCTCCTTTGTGAGAAGGGCAAGTCCTGTACATCACGACATCCAGCAACCGTTCAGACTTGGACTGTATGGGACCTTGGACGCGGGCAGGGCTGGCATTTGGTGAAGCTCCACAAGGCCGCGGACATCAAAGAGCAAGGCGAAGTGACAGCTGCTACACTAGGCATTGATTTGAGCCTTGGCAAAACACCTGTCATTCAAAACAGAGCTGCTGTTCACCAATCCTGTGACAAATATAGGTCGCACAAGCCAGTATTGAAGGAAGACTCGGTAAGTGATCTTATGACAGGAAACCTCACTGTGCGAGTAGCCATTTCAGAAGCCTTTCAGGACAGGCTTTCACCTCTATCCGGTCGAGAGAAGGACTTTGGATGGGCCTTGCATCAAGCTTGGGGCAAGCCTTGCTGATGCCTCTGGCTTGGAAAATCATCTCCTGGCTTTGACGCCTGATCGTTTGCAGGTGAGCCTGGGCATGGACATTGTCAGTTCCAGAGCAATTTCCTCGGGGGAATTACTGTACTCATGTGGCGGTAAACGTGTGCCAGGTAGTTGAGCTGGTGTGCGCAAGGGAGATGCCGCGACCTGCAGACGTGCCAAGGGGCCCTGCAGCCTTCCCAATTTGTGGTATCCAACTGCCGTTCATCGGAACAACGTATAAGCTCTTCCAAGGACGGTGTGATGCCTAAGCACAGGAAGTGTTTGCATTCACTGCAACATTTTGAGCATGCCCCAATATGCGCAAACATCAGCATTGCCAAACTCGTCAAAGCACCAGCTTGAGACTTGAGGCATGGCGTCTGTGGAGGAACAAGGAACACCGTACATCATTCTTAGGGCTTCCGGATTGTGACCCTCAAAGTTCTTTGGAGCCGTACTGAGCTTTTCAGAGCTGTCGTCAGGACCTTACAAACTGCCAACCTACAACCTTGCTCACAACGTCTTCCCGCCAAGCGAGTACCCTTACGGCGCGACCGTGCGATCGCACAGCGGCCAAAGACAAGAGATCGCTGACTTCCCAACTGGAATCTTGACCATTCACTTGATGAGTTGGCAAGCTTTTTGTAGGCAGACCATGTTGAAACATGTTGAAACCCATCATTAGTTTTGGAACCCAACCCTTTTTGCATTCCTGGGTTGGAACAAAAGGTACGGGATCGAACACCTGCTAAAAGTACTCTTGTTTGATTCAAGTACTTGTGGTTTTAAACCCACTATATATATATATTATATATATTATATATATATTATATATTACATATATTATATATATTATATATTATATATATTATATATGTTTGTTTCTTTTTAACGAAATCCATTCAACATCCTTTTCTAACCCTGCAAGACACCAGATGGGAACCTGAACACGACTGTGATGATTCTGTGGGCCATCCTCGATGCTGCAGCAGTCGTGGTAAATGATTCATGAACGACACGTGGTTAGTCACCCGGGCAGCTGTAGGCAGCGTTATGCGCATTTCTTCTTTCCACGTGTCGTTGCCATAGCATCCACAACAGACATCATTATCCCCCCCCCCCCCCCCCCCCCCCCCCCCCCCCCCTAGGTGGTTTCTACGTCTAAGACGTAGTATGCACACTATAATAGCTCAGGGTGTGTGACTGTCGTCTATCATGTCTATCGTATTCCTCAAGGCTCAAGGGAATCACAGCTTACCGCGATAAAAGACACTGCTTGCCTGCGCCTTCACAGGCCGTACGCGGTAGTCACTCTTTCTCCCCCACGGCCTCCCGCAGCAATGATCCACTTAGCAACGTCGTTGCCGTAGCATCCGCGACGAACGTCATTATCCTCACCCCACCCCATATGTGTGTGGATGACAAACTTGACAAAATATCTATGACCATTATATCAATATCTATAACCATATCATGACCATATATTATATACGCACTGCGCAGCAAATCCGTTGCATCACAGCATGATCCAGGCAGCAATGTCGTTGCGCAATGATCCACGCAACACTGTAGTTGCCATAGCATGAAACAACTAGGGCCAAGGCTCTTCCAGTGAAGGCGCCAGAGGTGGAACGTGGCAACTAGGAAACATCGACCGCGGCTAGCTCCCGCAGCAGTTGTGGCCAAGCGCGCGGTGAATTTTGGGCTGCGCGGGTGGTAGGCCAGGAGAAATAGCGATAGATAGGGCAGTTAGGATAGGCAAACAGAAAGAAAGGTAGATGTTGATAAACAGATATTCAGCGATAGATAGATAGATAGATAGGCAGATAGATAAATAAAGATAATAAAGAGAGAGAGAGAGAGAAAAAGAGACAAAACACAGACAGACACTTAGGGTCCCAGTGGCCAGTACCCATCAAGTATATGACCAAAGACACCGATGGTCGAAGAAGGAAGGAATCACCTCAAGCGCGGCCTCCTTCTTTGGAAAGCACCGGAATGGTTGCGTGACTATTGTTGCCGCTTGATACACCCAAGGTTTTGGATTGTTGGGGCGATAAGTACGCGGAATATGATCTCAATCCGTGTCACGAGCACTCATTTCCATTAACGTCCGCAGCATTTTAAGTAAAAGGCTGCCCAACATTGGTGTTGGTTTTTCAGGTTCTTGTTCAGCTAGTGGACGTACAACTGGCCCAGTTTTTTAACCTGGAAACCTCCTATTTCCACTGTGTGTGTGTTCCTGGGGGTCCAAAAAGATAAAGAAGTGGGTTCCTGGGTTAAAAGAGTTTTTCTTATTTGTTTCTAGGCGTTGAACGATATATAGGTCTGGATGAAGTAAAGGTTCCCGGCTTAAACAAATATTGCAATTCTTGTGTTGTTGCTCGTAGCATGTCCCTTGTCCCCGCTGCAAGTCTCACTCTGTCAGAACAGACAGCAGCAATGCCTTGCGCCGGACATATACGTATGCGTCGGAGTGTTTTTTAAGTTATTTATACCAACTTGACAGGGGATTGCTTTTTCCATATTTTGGTGTAGAGGGCTTCGCCATTTACTACACTAGCCAGGAACCATCTTCAACGACAGTGCTCACTATACAGTCACGATGACTGCAGATGCCAACATCGTGAAAGAGTTGATTGATCGAACGGCAGATTTTCCAAAGTTGTGGAACAGAGGATTCCAGATCCCATTGCAGGGCTTCACAGCGAACGGGTTATTTACGAGCAGTGAGACTTCAGATGATTGGAAGACGGCGCACACTTTGCTTCCAAGAGGCTTTAATCAGATCAAGATCAAGAGCTTTTTGCGCCACAGATTTTTGCCAAGACTCGGGCCTTTGTCCGTGAGTGGTCCAACTTCAAAGCTGGTCACAAGGTGGAACATGTGAATGATTGGCTCACAGCCATGACTGCAGATGCTGTGGTCTCTTGTAGTATGGGCATGGACATGCGAAATGTGGAACGTCTTGGAGCAAAACAGGAGCTTCCTTCCATGTTCTTTGATGTTTTTTGTGTCTTTGGGGCTTTATGACGCAAGCGGCCAAGAGATAAAGTGGCAACTTAATGTCATGTTTACTCTGACTTTATTGGCGATTCCGCTCAGGAGCCCCACAAGTTTGTGGAGACGTTCCGCTCCGGCCTGGGACTCTCTGTTGGAGCCATCTCTGAGAAGTCGGAGTACGGCCTGAAGCGATTCCTCCCTTTCTTTGATGCGAAGGGGAAGCTGAAAGCCAAGTTTGACACAGTGAAAAAAAGAGATGGAAAGACAAGTGGAGGACTCTGATTCAAAGCGGTCTTCAACTTGACCCTAGAGCTCATGGTTGTAAATTGGGTAGCAACTGTTCTTGACACTTTTGAGGATTTGGTGGAAGCCACAAGACAAGGAGAAATCGGCAACCAAGACTCGATCATCAGACGCATGGCACAAGTGCCATTCTGCAGCGTGTGATTCGACCATCCGATCCTCAGTGCAGTCTCCCTCTCCCTCAGGTCACCGGTGGCCCACGTGACATGTTTGCGACATGTTTGCTGAAACCAAGGAAGCATGTTAGAAGACCGGACTGCAGATGGAAAGCATGTTCGCTACGGAGCTTTGTATGGGCATGCTCCAAACTTAGCTTCGTCGCACGCGCCGCTTGTGAAAGTGCGATTAAATGGCACAAGCGGCAAAGATGTGATGCGCAGTTTAAGAGACCAGTGACTCCTGATGCAATTGAGTATGAATCAAGTTTTGTTTGCAGTAGGGGAAGCTCGAGTGACAAGTATATATATGCGCTGAACCCTGGAAATCCTGAGGTGGTGAATTTGATGATTGCAGGACACGAGACTACTGCGGCCACCTTGGGTTTTACCCTTCAGCAACTTGGCACACACGGTGATTTGCTGAAAGACAGGGTGGGAATCCAAAGCCCAGTCAGGAAGTGTGTTGTTTTACCTCTTGCCATTTTTTTTTGTGAAATCCTTTCTGTGACCAGGCTTTTGGCTGAGAACCCGGAGTACGAAGCTCGAGCATTGGAAGAGGTGCGGCAAGTGCTGACTCTCGGCGCAAGTGTTCCATCCACGGATTGTCTGTCCCACCCCCCTTCAAAGGCTTGGCATTGCTTGTAGTTTGAACCGGAAAAAGTCGACCGCGACCAATTTTGTGCAAACAAGTTTCAGCCATTTTTTCACACCAAGCAGTTTCGCTGAAGAAGTTTCGCTGCCGCTCAAGAAAGACTCATTAGTAGCGTCCTTGCTCCCAGTAGCGATGCCAGGAGCCCCTAGTAGCGTCCGATCGCTCCTAGTAGCGACTCGTTCCAGGAACGGCCGCGCAGAGCCCTCAGTGGATGATGTGCCAAAGCTCCAGTTCGTGGAGCAATGCTTCCGTGAAGCCCTGCGACTCTATAGCCCGGTCACGAGCCTCACTCGCGACGTGGCCTACGACACGCTTTTGGGAGGCCATCGAGCCTTCCAGGGTGAAAGGACTTTCAACGAGAGTTTTGAGCCATTTTCTTTTGAGCTACCAGTAACAATGTTCGCTAATAGGGGCTCCTGGCATCGCTACTAGGAGCAAGGACGCTACTAGGAGCAAAGGGTGCCAATGAGCTACTAGGAGATGAGTTCTTTTGCGATCTGTGCTTTTCACCCATTTCCGTGGACACCCATCTTGGTGCTGCCCAGCGCAGGATCGTGGTGGTGACCCGCGCGCTGCACACTAATCCTGAGTAATTTGGGCTGCGGACAGGGTGGGTGATGTTTGATTCCTGAAAGTGCTTTCACCTAACTAGGAGCAAGGACGCTACTAGGCTCTCCTGGCCTTACTACTAGGAACAAGGACGCTACTAGGGGCTCCTGGCATCGCTACTAGTAACAAGGGCATCGCTACTAGGAGCAAGGACGCTTTGGCTCAACAGGGCTGTGGCTCTCGGAGAGCTAGAACATCCACAAGTCTTGTGCCAGTAACAAACATGATGTTGACTCTTGAGTGTTCCCCGCGGATCAAATCCATGAGACTCCTGAATAAGGAATGATTCTGGAAAAACATGAACAATCCGAAAGAATTTAAAAGGAAATCAACACATATCAAAACGAATCAAAAGCAAATCAAAAGGAATCAAAGGAAATCTAAAGGAATCCATAGGAATCGGCAGGAAATGAACAGGAACCAACAGGAAATCAATAGGACATGAAAAGGAGTCAACAAGACATACTTAGGAAGCACAACATATGATTTATATACTGTATAATTCATAATGAAAACCATAGACATTATTGCAGCTGCAGGAGATGTTAATGAGATATAATAATTACAGCCCACCGGTGCAGACAATAGTCAAGGGGGTCAACAATCGAAGCGAAAAGTGCGCAGACAATAATTGGGGGGGGGGGGGGTAACGAATCAACAGTCTACATTAAACCACATCTCAACATTAACATGACTTTAGAAGATTCTAGGTCCTCTGTTAAAGTCTTGTGATGAGGTACTGGGGTGGTGAATTTGGAGATCCGTTGCGCTTCAATCCGGACCGCTTCTCTCCTGAGGTGGGAAATGATGCACGTGTTAATACCGAGAATCTGTTTTACATCCGATAAAATGTTTAATTTGCATTGAATACGATAAATTTGACATGCTGATAATTTGTTTCCATCAGATGGCCTGTAATGACCCCAAGGCATAACAACCCAACCACATGCAGCACGACACGCAGGTCAACTGGCAACTACCTGACTCCGCCTGACTCCCTGACTACTGTCGCCAGGCGGTACAGAATCGACATCCAAACGCCTACCACCCCTGGGGCTTCTCCACCCGTGCCTGCATCGGAAGTCAGTTTGCTCTCTTTGAAGCAAAGACCCTTGGACAAGTCTTGCATTCATGCCTTGCGTTCTGCATGATCGAAAGGCATTGGACATGCCTTCATAACAACCCCAACGTAACGTGCTTTGAGTCAAACGTGTTGGGTGCCTTCCTCATTGTTTTCACGTAACCTATTCATCCTTTTCAATCGGGGTCTTCTTGGGTGCTTTTCGCTTTTCTTGCAGTGCGCCTAAGTCGGCGTGACAACTTACTTATTGTCAAGGGCAAGGGCCAGAGGGTCAGGGGGGAGGGTTGGCAGCTTAAGGACCTTCTTGGCGTCAATGTTGATCCACTTCCGCTTGCAAGGCCAGGTGTGTTCCAAGGACCCAGAAAGCAGGATTGATGCTTCGGCCAAGTTGAAGCGCGAGAAGAGTGTTTCGTGACCATTACTGGCAGATATGTTCACATAATACGCTTCAGATATAAACATGTTTCCACCAAAACAGCGGAAGAACTCACATCGATGTGGATGTTCGTTTCATTGCCATTCTTTGAGCACCCTGTGAGGCATCCCAGGGTACAAGCTCGTGGCCTCCACTGAAGCTGGTGGTGCAGCCCCATCGCCTGATAACCTAGCCTTTCAGGTCAGAGCGACGACTGCCAGAGACGAACATCAAGTAGACACACAGACAGACATAGACGGATACCATAGGCATCCATAGGCATTCATAAGATGTTATGATATTTCATTCTGGAATATCACAGATTCTGATCAGAGCTTCTGTGTGTGGTTTGTTTCCTTCTGAGCGTTTCATATCAAACTCATGGGTTTTCAATGACAGGGTCAACAAGTCTCTCGGTGTGCGGCTAGCTAGTTATTTTGTCTACTTTATCTTCTTCTCAAGAGATGCCTTGGCGAACCTTTGCCTGCTGAATCCAGCTGAAGTCTTCGTTCGCAGGTTTTCCCCAGGCCCGGCGGGCCGCTGTGGTCTGACAAGGGTCTCATGCAGCCACTGCCAGCATTCTCAGCACCGGAGCCACTTGACAGATTGTGTTTCATTTGGTTGAAAAGGCGACATATTATACATGCAAAACGGCTATATATATATATGTAAATACATCAAGATCATTAAATCAATACAGTTCATGAAGCAGGCAGACAAGGCCTGGGTTTTGTTAGATGTTCCTTCTAGTTTTTCCAAGTTTTAGATCGCCAGGAATGCTCTTATTTTCTTTGACAGCCCTTCTGACCTCCGAGCCTGGCACGGCTCAGGGTTGTCAAAGCAGCTCAGCCAGCAGAGAAGTCAGAGATGAATGGTGCTACGCGCGCGAAGACAGGGCCAGTGATGAAGGTACTTTATGGTTCCAACTCTGGTTCCAGCCGCTCGGAATGATAGAATGATGTCCAGAGCGCTAGAAGACTGGCCTGATAACTAGGGATGGACGATGACGAGCAAGCTAAGAATCTATGAAAATCATCGAACATTTAGTTTTCGCGCGGCAAAATTGAATGCAGTAACCAAGAAGAATCTGGAAACAGCCTTACGCTCACAAAACTCCGATTTTTATCAATGATGCAGTAGATACAAGTGCATTCTGAGTACTTGTATACAAGCTATGTTGGCCTCGCTAATCTCATCAGAACTTTTTAGCGCAGCAAGGGAAATTATGTGCTGGTCGAAGGTGGGTTTGCCATGTACGGATACGAGCAAAGCATAGCAAAGATAAACCCTCGACCGGTTGTGCTCTTGACATTAATTAGGGCATCGTGCCATTTTTACGTGGATTTCTGGACAGTTTCTTCTGGTGGATTTCTGGACAGATCATTGCGAGGCCTCGAAACCTCTGAGGTCAAGACTTTGCCAGCCAAGTCGAAGCTGCGGCAGGTCGAAGCGGCTTCCAGTCTTCGCTTCACTCGATGAGTCTTGGCTAAGTAGGACCTCATTCTCAAATTCCAAACTGTTTGAAGGGGATGATGATGCATCGACCTCAAAGCCTACCCGGTACTGTAGAGCATGTGAACAACGTCTCAATATCAAGGGTTTGATTCTCCAACGGGTTTCGATTAGGTGCATCAAAGTACATGAGTTTAATATAGTCTAATATACTATATACCTATATGCTTCCCTTGCGTGCGTTCGAGTTTTTTGCATGCTTTACAATGCTTGGCTCTAAGGAATCAGGGTGTCTCCGAAGAGCTTTTGGTGCCAGATGGACGCTTGGTCATCATTGTCACCTCTACGCCTCTCGTCTGTCATGGCGGCGGGATCTTTGGGCTTTTGAGCACATCTAAGCACCCCCACTTGTTCTGAGGAATATTTTACCTTCGCCCAGGCAGACCTGGCCATCGGCCACGGCCTGAAGCAAACCCCTTGGTGTTTGGATGCGCTCCAGAGCGCACGCCCTCAGCTTGACCGAACTACTGGTACAATGGACTGTACACTGGGTTCTGAATAGACATGGTAGCCGATTTCAAGGTCGACATAAGGCCTAGGTTCATTGAGAGCCTCTGATGATGTTGTTCGCAAAAGTTTTGTCGAGTTCGCGCAAGTAACATTTTTTTTGTGAAAGATCTGCGGAAGCTAGGTATGTGGAAACAACCAAACCAAGAAGACTTCTAGGATACACCCCGCGCAAACGTTAAATGGAATTCGTGAAACATCAACGAACATACAGTTGGTTTATGCATTGTTGTTTTTTTTCCGCGAACAATTGCGTTTCAGCAATGAATAACAAAAGTCCAAAAGGGGAACTGGGCAGGTTTTTACACGGTTTCACACCAAGCCATGAAGCCCCGCTTGTCCTGTCACTTTGGCCGATGAAGCTGTCTAAGGTACAACGGCATGCCGCCTGACAATGCGGGTAAGTTCAAGAAGTGGCTTCAGACTCAGAAACCCGACTCCTTGCAGCTTGACGTCAATTGTGTGAGAGGGACATCGAGAGGAGGGCGGAGCAGCCTGCAGAACGTACGGGGCTTGTGCTTTCAGGATCGCTTGTCGGTGCTGTTGGGTTCACAAAAAGTAAGGGGACACTGAGCAGAATGCAACCAGTCCAAGCGCCTTCCCTTGATCTCCTCAAAGGGGACTATCAGACTATCATTGCTTATGATTGATTAATTCATGGCAAGTAAACCCATCTTCGGTCAGCGGCTTCGCAGGCAAGGGCTGAAATATGCAGTCTTTGGAGTGGGAAACTCCCAATGGCATACATACCAGCAGTTCCCACGCGGCTTGGCTTTTCCTCGCATGTCAGACTTGGCTATAATGATAGATGAGACGCGTGGCAATATTGACCTAAAAGCAATGGCCTCCAACCAAATAGCGATGGCCTCCATCCTAGAAGCGATGGCCTCAAACCTAATAGCGATGGCCTCCATTCTAGAAGCGATGTCCTCCAACCTAATAGCGATGTCCATGCTAGAGGCGTTGGCATCCAACCTAATAGCGA